GCTTTGCTTTCTCCTCCTCTGGAATTCCGCTGCTCTCCTTGGTATTGAAACTGCACTCCTTGGTAGGTGAACTTGGTCCTGGCTGGGTTTCTTGTTGATCTTCTGGGGGAGGGGCCTGTTGTAGTGATTCTCAAGCGTCTTTGCCCCCGGCAGAGTTGCACCGCCCTTACCAGGGGCCGGGCTGAGTAATCCGCTCGGTTCACTTTCAGGAGCTTTTGTTCCCTGAGCGCTTTCCGTAGAGTCCGGAGGACGGGAATGAAGATGGCGGCCTCCCAGTCTCTAGCCTGGAGGAGCCGAGAGCCCGGGGCCCCACTCCTCAGTGCGCCCTCAGAGAACAGCGCCCAATTACTCCCGTCTGCCTGGCCTCCGGCCGCGCTCCGAGCTGACCGAGCCTGCGACCGGTTCAAGGTAAGCCCGAGCTGAGAGTCACTCCTCGGCTCCGGCTCTGTAGCTGGCTTCCCCGTTCTAATACCTGTGAGCTCTGCGACACTCAGACACCCCGATCCTTCTGTGACCCTGCGGGACCTGAGCCCACGCTGACCCCGCGTGGGCTTCACCCCAGTTAAGCCTCTGGAGCGATGTCCCTCAGTGGAACAGACTTTTAAAAGTCCTGATTTTGTGCTCTGTTGCTCCGCCGGTTGTCGGGAGCCGGCCCCTCCCCCCGCGGTCTATCTTCCCATCGCTTTGGATTCACTTCTCCGCCAGTCCTACCTTTCAGAAAGTGGTTGATTTTCTGTTTCTAGAATTGCTGTTCTTCTTCTCTTCGATCTCCCGTTGGATTTGTAGGTGTTTGCAATCTTTAGATAAGCTATCTAGCTGATCTCCCGCAACCTGAAGTAGTCTCAGCTGCTACTTCTCCGCCATCTTGACTCCTCCCCCCAAACTCTAGTAACTTTTAAATAATGTATCTACTACTTGAGATTCCAAAAGAAAAACTCATTCTAGATAGATTCACATGAGACTAGAATCACTTGCATTCTGACATAAAACTTATGTAGAATATTGTCTGAAATATGTTTATATTCATACCCTGTTTCATCTTCATCTGTCTCAGAAACATACCTGATGAAAATAACTTCCAAGGGCTTGTTTGGCCCCATAGCCTGCTGATGTATTATTTACTCATTCTTTCAACTGTTAGAATATAGTAAATAGCCCAAAGGGTGACACCTCTAGGTTTATATTCAAAATTTATAAAAAGACTACATAAAGGACAATGTAAACAGCAGATGAGATCATAAATAATTCATGGAACTTAAAATACTTAAATGGTCAACAAACCAGAGCTTTATGAAGTCATAACTCAAAAAAAATCTAATTTTTACTGATTATTACTATTCTGCCGGGTCACTGGCAAGAGTGGCTAAGTTAACTTTTACTTTGTAGAACTTTACGAACATCTTACATAACTTTGGTACATTAACATAAATTGTAGAGGAAAACTAAAATTCTTAACATATATTTAGATATGAATGGATGTCATTTAATGGAGTCCTTGAATTAAGGTAATGGTTAAATAAAACTTGATGACTGACCAAAATGACTGATCAAATGTGTTTTATCTATTAAAATCTGGTCCTGTGTATTTCACCACCTGAGTGTTTCTTGATTAAAGTTGAGCCAGAATTCAGTTAAACTTAGATCTAACCACAGGCTTGCAGGAAGTAGGAGGTTCAGAATATGTTAACTACAAATGACAAAACACAGGAAAGCAACAGTCAGATCCAAAATATGGGACATTCTCGAGGGAAAATGGTCTAGTTTTTCCAGCAAATAACAGACATAAATAAAAAAGGGAGAGGGTTGGAATTTTATACAGTAAAAGAGACCTAAAAGGTATAACAACTGAATGAAAATATGTGAACCTTGCTTGGATTAGGATTTAAACAAATCCTCTAAAATAAATCTTTGAGATAAATAGGGAATTGGAATATGGACTGGTATCAGATGATACTAAGGAATTATGGTAAATAATTTTTAAAAGTTACTGTCAGACATGTATACTAAAGTCTTCACAGATGAAAGAACATTGTATCTTGGGTTTCTTTTAAAATAGTCCAGTTTAATCCCCACCCAAAAACTGTATCAAAGAAGAGCTAGATGATAGGCATATGAGAACTTGTTATACGAATTTCTTTTATTTATCTTTGAGAACTTCCAATAGTTAAAAAAGAAAACTATTTTGGTTAAACACTCCTGCTAATTTAATTTTTTTAAAAGTTGGTTAAGCTTTATTAGTCTGATCAATTTGTTTTTCACTTTTTAAACTTACGCTTTTTAGACTGCATGAATCTTAGAGCTAACATGTGGTGTAGCAGTAATAGGAACTAACATTTACTGAGATCTTAGTACTAAGAACCATTCTGGGCATTATCTAACCTTAAAACAAGAAATAAAACACCCTGTGAAGCACGTGAAGGACGTGGTGACTTGCTGCTCAGATCCCCTCCACAAAAGGGTTGCTGTCCCTACTTTTGGGAGCTGGCCCTTGCAGAGACACCCTAGTTCCAGAAACTTACCTTACCTAAGGACATGCCTATCCCTGGGTGGCCCAAATCCAATGACAGATGAAGGAGAGGGCATAAAGGCCTGGCTATTTGGACAATGCAAAACCACCAGGGTGGGCTGTTTTAGCCTTAGAGCTCCTGGGAAGATTGGCCAAAGCTACCTGGTACCTGATTTGCTAATGACTTCTCCTTTTACCCCATCTTCTTCCATCCTTCCTTCCACAGGTATTCCAAATTCAGTCCCCAATAAACATCATGTGTGCTAGACTCCAGAGTCCATTTCCTAGAGAGCCCAATTTGTAACAAATGTTATTACCATCACTAACATACCCTGTTTTACAAGGAAACTGAGGCATAAGGGGATCAAATAACTTGCCTAAGACTATGAACGTAGTATGGGTTCCTAGAATCGGAGCTCTTACACACAGTTCTAAACTCTTCCTAATTTCATGACTAAGAATCTTCCTCTGGGTTTCAGTTCTAATTTTGCAAGGTATTTAACTGTGTGGCTATGGTTAAATTACTTGGATGCTCTGAGCTTCAATTTCTTCTGCAAAAAGTGGGGAAAAATTCCTAATTCCAAAATGATGAAGATGAAATAATACACATAAAAGAAGCTGGCACCCAGAGGCACTTAGTAAAACTGAGTAAGATAACTTCTTATTGTCAGGAGAAATACAAAGACCAGAATTTCCAATTAAGTGTGATTTTACTTTTTTAAAGATTTTACTTATTAGAGAGAGAGAGAGAGAGAGAGAGAGAGAGGCAGCAAGAGAGTGAACACAAGCAGGAGGAGTGGGAAAGGGAGGCTTCCTGTTGAGCAGGGAGCCCAACATGGGACTCAATCCCATGACCCTGGGATCATGACCTGAGCCAAAGGCAGATGCTTAGCGACTGAGCTACCCAGGTGCCTCAAGTATTATTTTACTTTTAAGAAGCAAATTTGCACAAGTGTATTACCCAGATCCACTATTTCTAAAACAGACATGGGCTATAAATAATAAGTATTTGATAAGTATATCCAATAAAAATGCATTATGCAATGATGTATTTACTTCTAAATTCCTCAGATTTGGACTTGGCCAGTAACTACTAAAAATGTTATGTCTGTGCAAAATTTTAAGATTCATTATCATAAGGATATCAATTGGAATTTGTCCACTCACATATTTTTTTCTTAAGATTCATTTATTCCAGAGAGAGAAAGAGCTATCAAGCAAGCAAGGGGGAGTGGCAGAGGGAGAGAGAACCTCAAGCAGACTCCTTGATGAGTGCCAAGCCTGATGTGGGGCTCGATCTCACAACTCTGAGATCATGACCTGAGCCAAAATCAAGAATCAGATGAGCCACCCAGGCACCCCTCACATTCTCTTCTTAGGAAATGGCCTTGCCTATTGGCCCTGAGGGCTATCTAGGCTGCCATGTTTTTATACCATTTAGATGAGGTGTCCTTGACTCAAGGATACCAAATCCACATACTAGCTGGTGAGAGACAATAGATATAGCCTGGCCTGAAAAGATGAATGGGGCCTATCAGACCCTGGCTCTGGTGAATTTTAATTGAGGATCATAAAGAGAATAAAACAATTAGCATAGAAGCAAATGCTGAAAAAACGCCATGATTCATAGCAAGTCAACAGCATGTGAAAGCTGAAATCATTGGAGCAGTGGAAACTACAATAAACAGAGGACCCAGTCAAGAAAAAAGGTTAAGCAGACACAGAAATATTAATATAATTCATATTACAATTCAAACTGCTCAAATTGTTCAAACTTTTATCTTTCTCTTTTACAAAAACACACAATTGTCATTTATAAGAAAGGTCACTGTTGAAAATTTTAAATTAAATTCCTTATATTTGTTTCTTAAAAACTTCACATCCAGTTTTATTATCTGTTCACAAAGAAATCTTATTCTAGTGAGTGTGAAGATACATCAGCATATTTTCCTTGTCAGTATTGCTTAATTGCTCCTACTCCTTTTTTTAGTAAGATTTTACTTAGCATATCATCTTACAAGGAATAATGCTATTGAATTAATTCAGTTTCTATAAATGGAACTATACAAAGGTTTTTTGATCAAGCAGACTCAAATGAAGTGGCAGTTCCAAGTTAACTTGGATTTGTATGAGACAAATGTTCCCAAACTACCCTATAAGATCATTTATTCATTGAAAAAAATATAATGAACACCTATTTTGTACCAGGCACTTAGCTTAAATAAATGAATATGATCTGTGCCCTCCAGGAGCTCACGCTAAATTAGAAAAGACTAGTAAACAGCTATAACTGTAATTCCATGATAAATACAAAAAGACAACAAATGGCAATGATAAATGGTCAAGTACAGTAACAAACAGCATTAGGGAAAGACTGAACTGAGAGAAAAGAATTCTCATACAATGGGTTAGATAATCCCTCACAGAAAGTAAGAGATCCAAGATAAGTTCATACTATGTCTTAGAGAGCTCAGTAGGGCATGAAATCTCTTACCTGTACCTGAGGTTTCATTAGTTCTTGTGTGTAGTAGCATGGTTTAGTTGTCATCTTTACAGGGAAGCCACAGATACGAGGCAGCTTAGATTTTAAGTCTGAAACGAAACTTTTCAACACACCTTCCAAATCTACCCTTGGAAAGAACTGTATGGGCTGACTTCTGATGCAGCTCAGAGGGTATCTGAGAAATGTTAAAGAACAGTAGAACAGGTTTTGTACTCAAGAGATAGCAATTTATTTTTTCTTTTTAAGATTGATTTGAGAGAGAGCATGCGCATGCACACACGCACATGAGAGGGAGGAGCATAGGGAGAGAGAATCTCAAGCAGACTCTGAGCTGAGCGCAAAGCCTGACTCTGGGCTTGATCTCATGACTCAGATCATGACCTGAGCTGAAACCAAGAGTCAGACGCTTAACCAACTGCACCATCCAGGTGCCCCAAGAGATAGCAATTTCTATGGAATTAAAAAAGTATTACAATATTAACTGTTAAAAAAGCACACACAACTAAATCCTAGCTATTTCATATATTGGTTAATTCATATTTTCCAAAAGTTAAAGTGTTTTATCACAGGGATCTTGATTCATTCTATTTTAACACTCAAAATCAAGACTGTTCATTGTGTCACTATAGAGCTTTCTATATAGACTGGCAGACTAAGATATTCCAAAAATGATTTATAAGAAGGACATTACAACCTTTGGAGATTACAAAAATAAGTGTTGACACTAAACAATAAAGAGGTTGCATCTCCAAAAGCTGTAAAAAAATTAATACAAAGAAACAACACATATAGAGTGTATTCAAGTCCCAAAAGCAATTCTTTGAAGAGAGCAGTAAATTTTCTGACGAAAAAAATTCTGAGGACTTGGAATAATGTCTTTGCATCTAATGAAAGGGAGTAGTTGATCCCTGTCAGCCTCAATTTTATATTAAGATTTCGGTTAGGAAGTGTAGAATGCAGAAAGAGAACACTATGACTCTTCCTTCTTCCAATTTGAATCAGAGTTCAGAATACAGAGACAGGAATATGATATCAGTACTAGTTACAATCTAAAGGTTTCACCTGAACACTTTCAATTATCATTAACTTATTTAAAATAATGGTAAGACAGATATTTTCTTAAATCATTGGGGTGCATTAAGTGCAAGTCAGATCCTCTAAATTTTGCCTGTAAAATTAAATAATCTTGCATAGACAAAAATCTTTATTAAAAGATTAATTTTTTATATTTTGCCCTTTCAATAATATCCAAAATACCACTGGAGGGAGCCCTTGGCTAAGGAGAATCCTAAGATTTTCTTACTGTCTACTAACAATGATGTGAACATGTTTTTTAAAATATTTTATTTATTTAACAGAGAGAGAGAGAGAGAGAGAGAGACAGCGAGAGAAGAAACATAAGCAGGGGGAGTGGGAGAGGGAGAAGCAGGCTTCCCACTGAGCACAGAGAGGGACAGGGAGCTTGACACCAGGATTATGGGATCAACAGAACCCTGGGATCAGGGTCTGAGCTGAAGGCAGATGATTAAGGACTGAGCCACCCAGGCACCCCAACATTTTTCTGTCTACCCTAAAGTTCCTTTTGTTACCTAAATTGTTGCAATGATGCTTAAGAGAAAAAAAAAATTATTAAGCTCATTTTCAAAAACCGAAAACATCTAAGGAAAACAAACATTCAAGCAGGGAAAAAAGAAGTAGGGGGAATGCAGTTGCATTTAGACATAGAGAAGGTTGAAAATGATGACAACATCAAAGCCAGGAGTAGGACTGGATCATGAGTTGGCAACGGGCTTCTCTTATAAGTGGCATGTAAAAGGATATGTGAAGATCCTTCCTCCTATGATTTTGAAGTAGATGCTGCAGTATATTTTAGTATTTCCACAATCTTCTGGAAGTTTATAGCCATACTAAAAATTAAGAACAAAGCTGAAATTTTCTTAAGAGAAACCTAAATTTAGGTTAAATTATAAGAAGCAAAAATCAAATAGCTTCTAACATAACACACATTTCTTTTCCTTACCAGGTCATCCCAGTGCATCTCGAAATCTTCATATGAGTGAAAAGGACAGTCAGGGGGTGTGGTGTGAAGAATACTTATTATTTGTCCCCTTTTCATACTATAAAAAATAAAAGTTGATAAAACATTATGAGCCAGCGCTTGGATATAATTTTATTTAACTATGTAATTTAATTTAGAAAATACTCAAAAAGATTAAGCCACTATCAATACATAAGTAATAAACTAATCATTTGCTCCTAGTTCCAAGTACACCATCGTATTAAATCTTAACAACCAGAATTATTAAGAAAAACTAAACTGAATTAATGCAATATGCCAGTAATAAACACAAAATAATGTTTAGTAAATGCTGCCATGTAAAAGCATGCCTAGAAACTCTTAGACTTTAAGGAAAAGTCTGTTAAGAGTTAAATGAATCAGAGTCAAATCTTTGTTCCCTACCTTCCTCTTCCCTGCTTTGGTGATTAAATTATTGTGCATATTCTGTTAGTTAATTAAAACTCTTTTTCCTAAGTAGGTTAAAGTTTCATCCCAATAGTCCTATTTATATTAATAACAAGCCATTTTTCTCCTAAAGACAGTACAAACTTAAAACAGTTTCTAAAATATGATAATGAATCATTAATTACATGCACACGTTATAAGGTTTTACTGATACTATTATAATAGTTATAATTTCATAATGAGATATCTGGAAATTTTACTTTTGTAAAGACTATAACAAAAATGTAAGTGTATAACAAAATTGTTTTAGTAATTTGATACAGGAAATTGATGGCTTTGTACGACATCTTTTTTAAGTTACAAACCACTTTCAAAAATTCAATTTCAAAAATACCTTCATATTTTTCTACACATCATTGCTGAAGCAAAATGAGACAAAACTAACTCTAACTTTGACCCATCTCAGATGACACAAATTGAAATCTCACCTTGGCAAAACATAGCACCAATTGCTCAAAATTGAATGTCCTTCAATGACAGCATTCTTGTTATTATCAAAATCCTTTATAATACTCTGAGAAATACCAAATTCTCTCAGCTTTTAAGAGAAATAAGATGTAATGTATAAGTAAGACATCAAAAGAATTTGTCAAACAAAAAGAAACACATACACAATTACAAAGTAGTTTTAAAGGCTTAGTTTAAGTTGGAGGTGCATAACACTTTACATAATGTAATCAATGTTTCAGCTTTTCCTATTTCTGTCTGTACAATATATCAAGTATTTCATGCTTTCTCTCATTTTCCAACCCTGAACCGCTCTCATACTTTTCAACTGGTTTTCAACTTTTTTATTATGTTTATAGGAAGCTGAATTCCTTCTAAAGGAAGGTATTTACATTTTGTAACAATAGTGCCTTACTTTTTTTTTTTTTTTTAACTGGACAATGAGTTTGGGAATTGTTCCTCTATTTGCTCTTTGGAAGGGAGAGCACAGAGCCAATATCCCCCTTCTGTATTCCTTTTCCTTCTCATCGAATGCTTTTCCTCTGGTCCTCAGGAGCCCTATCTGCAGGGTACTTAATTAAGCTTATAGTTTAACAGTCCTTTTCCACTTACTGTTTCCTTACCCTGTGGGGCAGTTTAATACAGTGAATCAAAGATAAAGAGAGACTTCAAATGAAGTATTAATGTCCTCCTAAGAAGACACTGTGTTACGATCAGAAAGAATGCTTCATAATCCCTCAACCCCTTTTTAACCTATCATCATATGGCTTTTGGGAAATAATGTTCTAACTTCATTTTCTAGTACTGCTTTTCAACAAAACTCCAACTAAGCTGGCCATTTTTTTTATTGCCTAGACAAGTCATAAATAACAAAACATTTGCTTTAAGCACTGCTCTTACTGTGATTGATCTGAGTTCTATCAATAAGAGCCTTACAGGTGTAGAGTTAGACCCATCTCCTCTATGATCAGTGACTGATCCTTCCCTGAATTCTTATAGCATTTATTGAAACTAATGGAAATGAGGGAGCAAGGCAGAGCAGAAAAACACGAATGCAGAAATAAGAAGATAAGAACTGCTGGCTATGTTGTGAGGTAAGAAAGCTAAGACAGTAAGCGTGAGTAAGGATGCATAACCGTGCACACGAGATAAATCTTGCCCTGTGGTATACTGTGCTTAAGAGCAAAGTTGTCTAATGTGTGACCTAAAAAAGGATGGTCATGAAGTGTCGGGTGGCTCAGTCATTTAAGGGTCTGATTCTGGCTGCAGTCATGATCCCAGGGTCTTGGGATGAGCCCTATCCACGTTGGGCTCTTTGCTCAGTGGGGAGCCTGCTTCTCTCTCTCCCTCTTCCTACAACTCTCCCTGCTTGTGTGCATATGAGCTCTCTCCTCTCTGTCAAATAAAAAAATAGAATCTAAAAAAAAGAAAAGGATGGTCAGTGCTGGGATGGCTGTGAATGTCAGGAAAGACTGACTGCAGGTGAATGAATAGATTGAGGGAAAACAGAACCTAAAATTGAATTCAGAGAGGGTAGGTATCATGTCCAAATATTCAGTTTATGGGTTCTCATGTACACCCATTTACATAGCTTGAGTTTATATCCTTCTGGCTATTTTCAACACTATTCAGAGACTCAAACTGCTGCAGAGATTTTCATCTTAAGTACTAGCACTTAATGTCTATTTTGGCTTTTCTCAACATAGATTTTTCTGAAGACTGGCTAACTACCCATACGCCTCAAAAGAAAGTTAACCTCTTACATATTTTTACTTAACAAATATTTATAATGTGCCCTTTCTGAACAGATCTGCACTAACAAATTACTCAGTAAACATCCCTTCTTCCTTATAATATCAAGCTAAAGAATTTGGACTTTATTTGCTCTAGGCAATGTTGAGATTAACTAGAGATATTTAGGTTGGGGTCATCTGTTTTAGAAAGAGAACTCTGTTGATACTGTGAAGAAGAATTAGAGAAAAAATAAGGGGAAAAAAGACCAATATGAAAACCATTTTAATAATTCAGGCAACAGAAGAGACTTTAATTAGAGCAGCAGAAATGGAGGGGAGGAAGATATTTGAGACCGAGATAGGCTATTAATGGCTGATTGGATATAGGAGGTGAGATCCAAGGATAACTCTGATATCTGTAGCTAGTTAACTTATTGGTTATTGATGCCAGTAACCAAGAGCAAATACAAGGAAGAACCTAGCTGGTACTACTGAGGGTGACAAATAATTCCGTTTCAGGCGTAACTGAGACTGAGCATCATTAGTACATGCATGTGAAAATATCTGAGAAAGGACAAATTGCAACTATATGAGAATATTTTGGAGATAAGTGTATAGGGTTACCACTGGAAGAGTTGAACCTGCTAAGGAAAAGAAAGGTGGGCTGAAAATGGGACTCTAGGGAACAGCAACATTTAAAGTACAGTAAGAGAAGAGAGAATCATTAGTAAGTGGTAGGAAATTCTGGATAAAGCAATTTCAGAGAAACCAAAAAAGGATATGATTTCAAGAAGGAAAGGGTAGAAAATAATGCCACAGTTTCAAATATGAATTCCCTCAAATATCTCCTTTTCCCCTGAACTCCTAAAGTCATGTAATTCTTATGATACTTAGTTTGGTACTATATTGCCAACCGCTGTTACCTAATTTTTTTTTTAAATACGTAATAAATATCCTCTCCTGTCAGGCTCTATGGGACATATGAATTTGAGTCAAGACACCTAAGACTAGGTGAAGGAAGTATAATGTAGCAGAAAGAACAGAGTCAAAAGAAATCTCTTAAATCCTAAATCACTTTCTTAATACCTTTATGACCTAGAGCAAGTTACTTAGCCTCTGTCCCAGCTCAGTTACTTAAGGGGAATGAAAGTGTAAAAGATAAACTGGAAAGAAGAGGAATGGTGAACACCCCCCCCCACCCCGCACCAGACCTGTACCCAACACTGGATTTTGATAAAAGGAAGACTCAATCCCAGTATCTTTTAGTCCATATGGGGAACAAGGATAAATAAGGCAAAACCTAGACTCTCAAAAGAGATCACAACTTAGTAGGAACATAGACATGTACGGAACTAATTTTTACAGCTAATTTTAATGGGTAAAATGCCATATCAAAAATTTAGGTAAAGTGAGGTTTGGAGGAGCTGACAGTCGGTTATAATTTAGGCAATCAATTTAAATGAAAAGAGTCAGTGTACACTGAGTATATAATGTTGAGTAGAAGAGAGGATTACATCTTTTCCATTTTGGGCGTTTACTTCCATGTTGAGAAAGCTTTAACACACACTCCTGGTGTCTCTCTGTCCATTCATTTTTTTCCCCAGGGCAGATCAGGTGACTTATCTGGTTGATAAAACTGGAACAATTCCTTCTTCTTCCTCTTGGGGACTGGCCTGTTAGCAGAAGGTAGTGTACTGCATTCTGTCATATGGGGAATGGTGCCTGATCTCCCAAGGGAGCCTGGGAGTCTCCATTACTCCCACAAGTAGGAGGGGAATCTGCCTAATTCTAGGGTTCAGATAGGACACATTCTCTAATAACTGGTTTTTTTTTTTTTCAGTAATAAAAAGCATGACCAAATATCTATTAAAATAAATAAAATGGAGACCAAACTTGAAAATTCCTTAAGCAGAAAAAACCAGTTAAGCAACATAAAACCTAATCTAGCTCATTCTATAACACAACTGAAATTTAACTTCAATTATTTCTTGTAAATGCCTCTAAAAATCATAAATAAAACTTAAATTATTTTCCAAAACAGAGTAAGATAATCACTTTTAACCAATCCCCTGTCATTTGGAAAACACCATTACTGTAACCAATCATTATGAAGATAAAATACCTTCTACATTGCCATTATAGAAGCTATCCTGCAACAACACCCTTCTGAGTCTCATTACACTGTTAGTTTGAAGACTCTTGGTTCACAAACTATTCTTTTATGTATAATGAACTTAATAAATTTAATTTTAGTTGCTTTGATTTTATTTTTAACATACCCCAATTCATATATGTTGGATCAGTATCTCCTTAGGTTAGTGTCCCTTTCACTCTCAAAAGTATCCATTTGGGACCATAAATTACACTCTCATCCTAGTAATAAAGACAGTATTCTGATCTCTGTATGTCTTATTCTTCTTTTCAATCTCTAATTGATTCAAAACTCAGATATACAAAGCACAAGTCTCATCTGTAGAAAACTCAAAGGGCAGTAAGACATGATATTAGTCTTTAAGAAGTTTATTATGAAGTAAATTGGGGATATAAAATGAGTACAATTCTAAACATACAATGTTTTATGTTGTATGTGAGCATGGTGCAGAATAGAAGAAAGGTTCAAAAGAGGCTGGGAGGTCACAGTGGGTCCAAGCCTTGGAAAGGTTCCTCATCAGTACAAGATATTCATGTCCTGAGGCCCATTCCACTTGTTTTTATGCAGGTCATTTTCCCTACTGGCTTACACAATTCCCGAGGGCCAGACAGTAGATCCTATTTATTTTTGACTTGTCTCTTGCCTCAACATAGCAGGTAATCAAAGAATTAAAGGTAAAGAGAAATATGAATGGAATAGCACTGGAGCTGGCCCTTAAAGGATGGGCAGGATGAATAGCTAATAAAAGGGTCACTCTAAGCAAAGGAGGAGTCATCTGCCTCATATGGACACTACTGAAATTTGTGTCTTTGCTGGGGTGGAGATGGGGTTGCTGTCCTGTGACTGTAGGATTTTTTAGCAACATCCCTAGCCTCAAACCATTAAATGCCCCTCTCCCTTTGTCATAACCAAATTTTTCTTCAGACATTACCAAATGGCTCATGGGGAACAAAGTCATTCATTTCCTTCTCTACCTCCCTCCACTGAGAACCACTGTCACAGAAGAAGGAAAATAATATTTATTGAGTTACTATTGATGTGTAAGTTTCTATGCTGAGTGCTATGGGAATTAGTAAAAGACATATCCTTCTAAGAAGGCAAACAGTGTTATTACATATATATTTTTTTACAAGTATAAAAAATGCTAGCAGAATGCTAATGAGGGGATATTACATTTAGTATGAACTGAAACAGTGTTTTTAATATTTGGAGATGAGAAAAGAGGCAAGAAGTGTGAGTGCTGAGGCAGCACAGGTTTCTGGAGAGTCTCCACCACCATCTAAAAAGATTTTTGAGCAAGAGAATGATATGATTAAATCTGTGTCAGAGGCCCTGGGTAGCTCAGTTGGCTAAGTATCTGCCTTCGGCTCAGGTCATGATCTTGGGGTCCTGTGATGGAGCTCAGAGTCAGGGTCCCTGCTCAGTGGGGAGTCTGCTTCTCCCTCTCCCTCTGCCCCTCCCCTCCGCTCATGCTTGGTCTCTTTCAAATAAATACAATCTTTTAAAAATTTTTTTTTTAAATCTGTGTTAAACTGACAATGTTTTCTTTGAGTAAACAGATTTAGAACAATTTCAACATATCAAGCATTTAATAATATGGATTTTGATAATAAAAAACTTTTATCACTTGTTAAAAATTAAAGCCTACTAGTATGTTGGTAATAAAGTATATAGTAAATATAACAAAGTTAATTATAGAATAAAAATACATGGTACCTCAGGTAATGGCAGTCTGATTGTGTAAGCTTCTATACTTAGACAAACTTGAGTTTCGCTTACATTGATGTCTAATACTGAAAATAAAATATTTAACTGTGAATTTTCTGGAATTATTACTCCATTTTATTAAGCTAAATATTTTAATAAAAAGTAACTTTAAGTTAATTTGTTCACATTAGAAACTCAATTAAGAATATGTAATTTTTCCTCACATGGTAAAATCCAAAAAAAAATCACCCAGTAATGTTTGAGAGTCTGCAAATGAGAAAGAGGCCTGAAACAAAACGGAAATATGGGCATGTATGTGTTGGGGAGGTCACAGGGCAGGGTTACGATAAGAACAATGAGACATCCCACAGTTAGAAAAATTCAACAAGTAATTTTACAAGCCTGATTTCTATTACATGTGAAAAATGGACATTGTCTTCTTAAAGTGGGAGAGGTGCCATGCCCAGCTCCTAACTTTATAGTCTTTTCCTAACAAATGCCCATCAATAAACCAGTAGATAGAATACAGATCTCATAGAGCGCCAAGGCTCCTACCTTGCTTTCTCATAATTAGAATTACTTATATAAGTCAGAGAGTGGTCATCTTGGGAAAAGGTAGTACCTGAAAGAAAGCATGAGGGGATTCCTGGGGTACTGGTAATGTTCTTCTTGATTTGAGAACTGGTTATGAGGATATGTTCAGTCTGTGAAAATCCAATGAGCTATATACACTTATAATTTATCAATTCTGCTATAAATATTATATTTGGCAAAACTAAAAGAAAAGTTCTAACACAAGAGTGAAGAATTTTGCTCTTCTCAACTTTTATCTTTAACCTCTGACATCTATAGTCTCTTGACAGTGTCTGAGGATGAAACTGAATTTCTGTAATGAACCCATTTGCCTGGAGCAAGAGCACAGTGACTGTCATGTCCAGTTTAAACATAAAACTAGAGGAAGGAGGGCAAATAAGCTTCAGCCTGAAAGTCAACTCAAATTAAATAGTTGTGGATTATAGGTGGTAGCTCAGGATTTAAGGCTATGCCCAAATTGTGGTGAAAGCTAGCATGATTGATTAATGTCTACTGGGGCTTAGGATTTCCACCTGTCTGCTATCTGTGGATACTGTTTAGGAACAGGTCTACTTGAACAGCCATGCTTATCAATGAAAGAATTAGACCATACTATAACATGTGTATTTTAGATCTTCTTTGTCTCTTTAGACAACCTTTTTTTCTCCTTTAAGGAAAAGAAGAACTGTGTTCTCATAAGAAATACATCTTTGACTTACAACAGTACTAAAGAATTTTCAATGATATGACTCTGGAAACTATACATTACAAATGCTTGCAGAATTTAACTTCTTCAGAGTAATAATTTGAATTAAGTAGAAATACTAAAAATACAGATTTTATTCCAATTAAGAGAAGTAATTTTTTTCTTTTATAAATAAGAACATATACTGTGGCCCAGAGAGGATGTCCTGGATAAAATTATGATTATAATAATACATGATTATATTCTCATAATCATCAAAATTGTAACAACCCACCAATATGTAACATTGTTTTCTTTAATGACTGTTAACCATACTAATGTTTTATCTATTTATTTACGCATTTTTACTTACCAACAGCACTTTGCTTTCCCATCTGAGAAAGAAATTCTCTTCCTTAAAAAATTCATAAGGTAGTCCATATTATTATAACTTATAAATCATGCTTAATAAATATAACCTTTTATGATTAATTATCAAAGCCAAGGAAAATACCTTAAAATGCAGTTTTACACAAAGGAATAACCTAAAGACAGTTCAGAGAAAAAATATAACCACTCGAAAATTATCTTTTCAATTAAAAGGACAAATACCCAATTCTTCCTTCTAACATTTATTTCCTGGCATCAAATTCTAGAAAATGGTCAGACCTCAACACAAAATCCAGAATAGCCTTTTGGTTCCAACAGTTTTTGGTAATTTGTATTCAATGTATTCTAATGCACCATAACTTATATTTATTCCTTTCTAAATATCATGTATTATATAATGTTAAAAAATTCTTTGAAAAAACATCAGCAGGCCTCTTGAAATCATCCTAGGTAAGAAGAGGACATTTATGTTGTTGTGGACTTGCCTGAGAAGGCTTAGCGGTGGCTATACTTTAAAAACTATTCCCTAAAAATAATATATCCTGAAATTTAAAACAGATGCACAGAATAAAAGTGATCTAATTCAGAAACCCCCAATGACTGAAAGAGAGATAGTCACCTTGCACCAAGAGATGGCCAGTTTTATTCCAGGCTGGAGCAAGTCTAGCTGTGAGTGAATATGAAAGGCAGTTTTGAAGAATTACAGGAATTACTCTTTGTGGAGCCTCTACCTAAACATATTAAAGAACAAAACATAGGCAAATTTATAGCAGTTGGTATGTCCTATAAACTCAAGGAAAATGTGTATTTAGATCACCATCCAAAAACATGGGTTATTTTGGATATGAGTTATAGTAATCACTACAGCTAATCTTTTCTGGTTCTAAAGTTAATTAGTGTTAAAACATAGTCACTTTGAAACCATGAAACTATCATGCTACAATGGCAGTCTTCTTCCTCCTTATCCTGGCCCAATAAGCCTAAGTTTTAGAGCTCCTGTGCTAGGACCCTATACTATACTTCGTATTCAGCTCTGCAAAGAACTGTATTATGGTTTTCATTGTTGTTCACTCTAGTTCAACATCAGAAAACAATTACTTACATGAGCACACATGAAACCAGCAGACTATCTCTACCTGTAGAGTATTTTTTAAAATCAAGACTTTAACTTCTGACTAATGAAAAGTAATAGGATCCAGATTTATCCTCCCACTTTGGGTAACTAAGCAATAACTGAGCAAGTTACATGAAACAGTGGTTCACAACACACTGGACATCTAACAAGAAGTAATAGCAATCCTTAAGAGATGGGAAACCAATAATTAGACCCCAATATATCGATTAAAGAGGGTTTTTAAGCTGTGGTGCAGGGAGGCAGAACCCTGGAAAACCCAGTGGACTACCTTAGTTGACAGGATAGCTGAGAGTCCAGGAGGACTAGGGAGCTCGTTTTGGGGACAAAACGTTATAGAGGGGAGGGAGCTGCACAGAGAGCAAACTCTGAGATCAGTAGAGTCCCTCTTGAGTCATCAGCTGAGTATGGATTAGCCACACACATATAAGAAAATATACAGAGCTAGGAAAAGAACCAAGGTTTTCTTCTATACAAATATCCTTGTAAATATAGTCCAAAAGAAAATGCAGCCATTGCCACTCTTAGTAATATATGCAGAAAAAATGAGAGAGCCAAGGAGAACTGTTTTCCAATATCATTCACCCCTCATATTTGTACTATTTTAGTTTCTGGTGAATTTTCCCAGGATAACTACTTTGCTGGCAGTGAAGAAGACAAATCTGTTCAATCTGTTTCATAGATATTTTAATTAAGGATGCTCTCTATCAATAGGAGTTCAGGCAGCAGGATGAAGCCAACCTGTAACACTAACCTCAAACATGAACCCAAGGTCTCAGGCCTAAATGCCTGAACGAACCCCATAAACTATCAGGATCTTTCTTAGAAAGCCAAATGGCTTTCTCCTTGATTCTGTACTGACCTTTCTGCTTGGATGGAGGTATTAACCCAGATACAGTAGAATGTATCAACATACATTCAGCTTTGGTGTACAAGGAGGAAATGTAGGGCAATTCTGTCATCAATAACCATCCTGATTCATGACCTGGAAGCCTTTCAGGACAAAGGTGGTGTCATTGACCACTGCAGCTAAAGTCAGCGCCAAATTTTGTACCATGCTTTTCTCAATAATTCATACAACAGGTAGAAAATAAGAAAAATATAGTAGCTTAATAACACTATCAACTGCTGTGACCCAGTTAACATTTCTAGACTACCTGACACAGCAGCAGAATACACATTGTTTTTAAGTAGACAAGGAGTATTTACTAAGGAAGACCATATTCTGGGCCATAAAACAAGTCTCAATAAATTTTTAAAAGTTCAAGCTATATAAAACATGTTCTCAAGTCACAATCAAATTAGAAAACAATAGAAGGATCCTTGGAAAATCCCTGGGTATGTGGAAACTACATAGTATACTTCTAACTAACCCACAGTTCAAAGACGAAATCAAAGGGGAATTAGAAAGCATTCTGAACTGAAGAAGATCAAAACAAAACACATACATAGGAGGAAATTTAGAGCACTAAATGTCTCTATATTACAAAGGAATGTTCTCTAATCAATGACCTCAGTTTCCACCTTAAGAAACTAAAAAAAGAAGAGCAAAATAAACCCAAAGTAAGCATAAGAAAGTAAATAATAAAAACGAAAAGAAAAACAATGAGATACAAAATAGTAAGACAACAGAGAAAATCTACCAAACTAAAATCTTGTTTTTTGCGATCAGCAAGCTTGCTAAGCCTCTAGTAAGACTGATTAGGGAGGAAAAAGAAAGACAAGACACATTACCATTATCAGGAATGAGACAGGTGACATAACTACAGACTCTACAGCAAAGGAAATTAAGAGTGTATTATAAGCAACTTTATGTCAATAAATGTAACAAATTAGGTGACATGGACACATTCCTTGAAATAGATAATTTTAATAGTACTATAATCTATTAAAGATATTGAAATTGTGGTCAAAAACCTTCCCACAAGGAAAACGCCAGGCCCAGATAATTTGGTGAATTTTACTAAGTTTTTACGGAAGAAATAAAAATTCTATACAAACTCTAAAAACTAAAAAGGTGGTTCTTTCACAGAAAGCAATATCATATGAGAAAGACATTTTAATTTTTGTTTGCTGACAAAAAAATTGAATACATAATCAATATAAATAGTATTTGGAATTATTAAACTTCTAAAAACTTACTTTAGCTCCATATTTTTCAATATAGGCATTAAGTTTCCCAGCTTTATAAAATGGTATCTATAACAATAAAACAAAAAAAATCCACATTTATAAAAATTACTTAACACAAATACATTGTTAAATAATGTGGTACATAATGAATTTAAACATTCTACAGCAGCTGACCCATCATCAGGTTATCATCCTAACAGCTTGTATGCCTTGGAGAAGCAAGTGATAATCGTTCTCTCCCTAAAAAAGAACATGTGGGTACATTCTCAATATGAAGAAAAGCCTACCTGAAAGTGACATGAACCTAGAAAAGGAAAAGGCTAATAAATTTCATATAATATCTAACACCTTTCTTAATAAGTTTCTAGGCATGGATAAGGAAAATGGACACAAATGTGAACTCAAAAGAGAGTTCAAAAGGCCAAAGTGTTTCAATTAACCAATGAAAGAAATAGAAATCAAAGAAGGTAGAGGCGCCTGAGTGGCTCAATGGGTTAAAGCCTCTGCCTTCCGCTCAAGTCATGATCCCAGGGTCCTGGAATCAAGCCCTACATCGGGCTCTCTGCTGAGCAGGGAACCTGCTTCCTCCTCTCTCTCTGCCTGTCTCTCTGCCTACTTGTGATCTTTGTCTGTCAAATAAATAAATAAATAAAATCTTTTAAAAAATTTAAAAAAAAAGAAATCAAAGAAGGTATTATTTTTAACCTAACAAATTGGCAGATGTGTAAAGGTTGTTAATATCTAGTGTTCATGAGAATGTGGAAATACTGTCTCTCTCAATATACTATTACGATGCCATCTAGTACAAGCTTTTCAGAGAATAGCATTACTTAGATTTCAGTTTAAAATGTACTGCAATTGCACTTCTAGAAAGTTAACCCACAGAAACTACCAAATAAAGACTATATAATTTCAATGATGCTTTCTGAAGTGTTGTAGAAGTACCACTAGAAATTCAGATGTGCATTAGAAAATATTAACTAAATTATTATATACCCATACAATGAAATATTAGACAGCCTTAATAATGGATAAGATGTATGTACTGAAACAGAACAACATCCAGGAGAGGATGTTCAAGGAGAAATGAAAGGCAGTTTCAAAATAGTATATATAAAAATCCAATTTTCTACTTTAAATATTTTCAAAAAACTTATGGTATGTAATATCTTTGTAAGAAAGCAAAACACATTTTTAGATGGCTACTTTTCATTTAATATTCTTGCTAAGATTAGGATGCTTGAATTTACAAGAACTCTGAAACAATGTTCCCCCTGTTCCATAAAGATTTGCAGGTAGAGAAGAACACAAGTAAGAGGTAGTAGTGTTTACTTGTCCATCAACAGCTTATCTTTCTTAAAAATGATATAAAAAATGAGAAAATAAAAGATGAATATGTAACAATATAACTTAGAAGAAAAATAAAGGAACTAAAGATTTTTTGATGGCTTGTTAGTATTAATAAATGTTCATTTCCCTGATTCTGAAGAACTAAAATCTCAGAATATGAGGATTTTCAGAAAGATTTTTGATAAAAATCTGAGGATAATATAATTTTTATAAAGATTTTTGGCTTTTCATTATCATTTTCAGTGACGTACAGCACTGGGAAATAGGTTTCTTACTGTAGTTTTATTATGTGTAAATTTTTAAAAATTTTTAAAGACTATTTATTTGTCAGAAAAAGAAAACACATGCAGGGGCAGGAGGAGCAGTGGGCAACTGGAGAAGCAGGTTCCCTGCTGAGCAAGGAGCCCAGTGTGGGACTGGGATTCCAGGACCCTAGGATCATGACCTGGACCAAAGGTAGAGGCTTAACTGACTGAGCCAGCCATCCCTAAAAATTTTGTTTTAAATAAAATTTCAAATTAAAAATAAAAACTGTTGGGGAGTCTGGGTGGTCCAGTCAGTTAAGCATTGTCTTCAGTTCAGGTCATGATCCCAGAGTCCCAGAATCAAGCCCTATGTTGGGCTGTTTGCTTGGTAAGGAGTCTGCTTCTCCTTTTCCCTGTGTGTGTGCATGCAAGCATGAGCACAATCTCTCTCTCTTAAACAGATAAACAAATATTGGGGGGGAAAAAAGAAGAAATATCAAGTTTAACATAAATAAATAAACTATTGATCTAAGTTCTTTAAAACAATTGGAGATGTATTGGAATAGGAAATTTCTTCCTTTATATTAAATAGAATTCTAAAGGATAAAATTTTAAAAAAAGATTAAGGCCATGCTCTTAAAATTATGTTATATTTTATTCATTAATAGTCTTTATTTTAGCACTTGTGACAAACTAAATATTAAATTAGAACCACAAAAATGAATTTTAAACATCAGGTATACCGAAGTTAAAGTCTATAAATGGTTCAATCAAACTATAACACGGTAATTTGGTTTCATAAACCACCTTCAATTCGAGCTAAAATTAATACCTGAATTACTGCTTATCAATATTGCTCCCAATAATTAGTAATAACACTTCATAAAATTTTAAAATACTAACCGCCATCACTACCCAAATTTGGCTTAATGTTCCAGGCACAGGTGATGTAAGAATATCTTGATGCAAAAACAGCAACTGCCTGTAGAGATGAAACATACAATTTTAAGTGGACTTGCCTTCTGTCTGATTTTACTTATCAAAACATTTTGAAAATTGCTTAGTTCAAAAGTTTACATTTTTCCTAGGGAAGGATTGTGTTATAAAGACTTCTGTATCTCTCCCCACACTTAACATGTTAACTTGAACATTTAGCCACTCAGCCAAGATTTAAGAATGTTATAAGCTTTCAGATATTGATATGAATATTGTCCTTGCATCTGATTTTCCCAATCTCTTTTATCCATGAACCTAGATTTCTCATTTAAAACTCCATTTCTGTCCAGAGACTTGAAGATATCTTAATGTTGTTAAGAATCCAGCTCTTCTAACTCCTGTTTTCCTTTTTTAAGTGGTAGTCAGGAGGCAAGAGTCTAAGGATTTATCTATCAGTGATATTATCAACTACTTCAATGTTAGAACTACTAAACTAGATGCTTTTCCTTCAAAAAAGAAGTTTTTTCCAAGCCTAAATGAAGTAGGTAGTGGTTTCATTTTAGTATTCAACAGCCAAATGAACTCACAACAAAAATCACAATTCAAATTATCATCAAGAATTTTGTTTCAAAGATCAAGGAAAAGGTGGATAAAACACACGAAAAATTTCAAAATTAGTATCAAGGAAACAAACTTTAAAAAAATAAGAGTGTGTAGTGGGGAGGGGTTACCTCAAAAAGTTAGATGGGCACTTCTGTTTCTGTTTTAAGACCCTGGTGCAGAACCAGATGCAGCAGATACTTGGTTTTGCAAGGCCTGCCTTTGTTTGACATAGCTAAGCCTACAATGCCTACAATGAATCAAGACACCTCACTCTGTGGGCATGGCCATCTTCAATTTGAGGGTAAACAGGAGAAAATCTCAGGTTTCCCACCCATTTGTTTCTTAAAAGAGTCATAGGTAAATGTCCAGTAAGTATCAAGTTATACCTTAGCACAAAGGGTACAGGCTCCTGGATGTACTTTACTGGGAAACTATACAATGGGGAGAAGAAAACTTTTGTAAATGAAAGCAAAATGGGAGGACACCCCCAAGAGCATCTTCTTTATTTCCGGCTCCTAGCAATCTTGTTTGTTCCTCTCCAAGAAATTCAGTTACAGATATTATCTGTATTCTAAGAGTCCTTCTTTGTCTGACTCAAACAATTTAAGGGACTAATAAATGGTGGGTTCTTAGCAATCATGGAGTTATACTTTAGCTTCAATCAATCTTGGGTCAGTCATTTCAAAATAGTTCTTGGAGAAATACTCTACAGAAATTATCTTACGTTGACCTGCAAATTAAGAAACTGCATTAATCTAAAATGCTTATAGTATCTCCTAAAGTGTTCATAAACACCAGGTACTCTGTAAATATTTATTAATTTCTACCTCTAAGTTTTTGAGAATCTAATTTACCAACATCCATAACAAATTTAAAAAGATCACACAAGAAGTCACAAATATAAAAATTCAATAATGTGACACTCAATCACAGATATTTTAAGTCCTCCCCTAAATGTAATCCAATCTATCTGGTCAGAACAAAACTGAATTACTTTGTTTAAAGTTATATACACAGATTAAATAAAAGAGTATTTTGTTTTAAAGGAGATACTTCCGAAACAGCTCTAACAGGTCTCAAAACATTTAGAAAGCCTTACTTATAAAATGGGTTTTTTACCTGCACATCTTCATTTGTGTACTTCTAATCTCAGTGTCAGCCACTTCATTACTCAATATTATCCTGACAGCACAGAGTTTGTGTAAATCTGGAGATGTGATGAAGAACAGTGATTGCTGCCTAGAATCACTCATATTTTCCTGTTGACTGAATGTCTCAGCTCTGTCAGGCCTTTAAAAATAAACAAACAGCAATAAAATAGCAGTGAACTATCTTATCAAAGGGTTTTAATATGAACCCATCACAGAATATTTGATGTTGTATTGGAATAAGGCAATAAAAGCAAATTAGCAGATTTTAGCATTTAAATATCATTACCATTTTACCTTTAAGAATTGTTTATCCTGGGTGGCTCAGCTGGTTGAGCAACTGCCTCTTAATTTTGGCTCAGATCATGATCTCAGGGTTGTGAGACTGAGCTCAAGCCTGGCTCCACACTCAGTGGGCATCTGCTTGAGATGCTCTCTCCCTCTGCCCCTCTCTCCCACGCACACACACTCTCTCTCAATAAATAAAATCTTTAACCTGCTAGAACTTGTTACAAACATCATTAAGATGTAATACAAATAACCTCCAATTCACCTTTTTATATTATCAATTTCAATGGTTTTTAGTATCACAGTTATGCAACCATCACGATACATACTGGAAAATTTTCATTATTCCAAAAAGATAATATAGAATTAAGGCTGAAGTTCTACACCATAAGTAAAATAACTTGAGTATAACAACACAAAAATGAGCTACTGTTTATTAAACGCCTACTCTGATCTAGATACTAGATATATTTCTATCCCATTGTCTTCATTTAAGAAAGTTAAAGTTCCTGGCTATTCTTAAGTTTCATTTTGTTTTCAGAAAAAAAGTATCTCCTATGACAGTAATAATTTTTTGAAAATCTAAATGTATAGTGAAGTCTTCTGTTGCTTCAGGTTATCTTTAAAGCATTTCAAATTTGAATATATTTTTCATCCTTTTACATGAAAAGAAGTATTTACTAAGATGTCTAATTTTTGTTATCCAGTTTCCTTTTTCACAATTACTTAGCTTTAAAACTTCTATTTGGGACGAGTTTCACAGTTGGTAATTCACAGAGCATACCTCCGAAGTCTGTCCTGGGCATTAGAGAAAACTGGCATGTGCCAGTGGCGGAGTTAAGCTCAGCTTCTCTCCCATGCACACACACAGCAGGGGGAGGTAACTGAGATTCTAACACTTCCGATCTTTAAACAACACATTTTCTCCCTTTAAAGAAGAAAAATAATCACGTATCAGCCCGGGAATCGGGAATACGACCAGTCTTAAGCGTGATCTCAGGAACCACATGTGTTGTGGTCTAAGGCGATGGCGGACTGTGCCCTTCTGGCTGGCTCCCATGCAGCTTCCTCATTCAAGAAGGAGTGTTTCAAAGTTTCGTCTCTAGAGGGGCACTTGGTTGTCTTACGGGAACTACTCTTGGGTTAACACAAATTCCCACACGTTATTAATGACCTCATCAATGGGATTTCCCATAGCGTTAAAAGTAGAAACTGTCCTTCCTTCAGCTTTCCTGCTCTATTTTAACGTTTACTGTTATGAAAAGGTTTTTTAAAAAGTACAAGTTCCAAGGCAAAGACAACCTCCTTCGCAATTTCGCCAAAACCCACTTTCTCTGAAGCTCTGTGATAAAGGGCATCAAAGCGCGCCAGGCAGAGCATAAAGCGAACAGCTCACGACGGCGCGGCCGAGCACACGCTGCGCGTGCCCGGAAGAGCCCAGGTCAGAGCCGCAGGTCGGCATCCGCGGCCCAGTTTCACGTCTGACCTATTTTCCCCCAAGATGCCTCTTGCGGATTTTAACACCTTCCCGCGGAGGAGGCGCCGCGAAGTTGCGCCGGCCTTCGGCGGCGGTGGTCAGAGAGCCGCGCGGGAGCACCGGGGCCCCGCTGAGGAGCACTCCGGGAACGGTTCCCGTTCTTCGGCGCTACCCTGGGCGCGTTCTGAGCTCAGGAGCGGTAAACGGGGAGCGCTCAGAGCATGTCCCCCTTCCCAGGGTTGCCCCAGAAGCCGCGCAGAGCGCTGCACGCCTCAGCCTCAGCCCCTGATGCGGTGCCGGCGACACGTGCGGTCAGCAAGCCGCAGGGGCCAGCAGGGGCCCCGTAACCTACCCCGCCCCCCGCGGGCCTCGTGTTCTCCGGGCGGGGACGGGCCGCGCAGAAAGCGCCTTCCAGGTCTTTCTTCAGCTTGACGAGGCTGTCTGAGCGCGGCCTCCAGGAATTAGCCGGGCGCACTGGAGTCCGGGCCTCGTCCCACCCTACGCGCCAGCAGCAGCGGCCCGCAGAGATGCGCTGCGCTTCTGGGGCGCTGGGACGGGGCCCCCCGCCGACGCTCCCTGCCGGTCACAGAGAATCAGCAGCGCCTTCAGAGCCGTCGCCTCGCGAGGCGAACCCACAGGCCTTCACACTGGCGTGAGGAAGGGGTGCGGCAGATGGCAGGGCCCACAAGGGCCTCCGTGCTGCCTCTCTGCATCCCTCACGCTGACATCTCCCCAGGGACGTTTGCCCTTTGCTCTGAGGGCTCGCGCTCCTCCTCACCTGTCGCCTCCGCGATGTCCTCCTGGCTCTTGGCTGTACTCCCAGCACGCCCCGCACGCCCTCCCGGCAGGCCATGCGCCCCAGCACGCCCCGCGCGCCACGTGCTCCCAGCATGGTACGCGCTCCTCAGGCGCGCTCCGGCACACCCACGTTCCTCAGCCCCCTCCTTTGCGCTCTCCTGGCAGCTCTCGGAGGTGCTTCCAGCACGCCCCACGCACCCTCCCAGCAGACCCATGCGCCCCCAGCATGCCCTGTGCGCCACGTGCTCCCAGCGTGCCCCGCGCGCCTCACGTGCCCTCTTGGGATACCCATATTCCTCAGCCGCCTCTTTTGCACTCCCTTCGCTGATGTTGGCGCCGCTTCCTGCAAGCCCCACGCACGTGCGGCACGTGTGCTCTCCCAGCATGCCCCACATAGCCCACCCCCAACACGCCCCATGGGCCTCGTGCTTCCCCGGCATGCCTTGCGCACCTCAGCTCTTTCCGCCAACGCTGGTGACTGGTGACGCCGGCTCGCGTTCGTTTAGAGAAGAGCTGGGGTTGGCCCCAGCGGGAAAGCGGGATCCCGGGCGCGAGAGGCCTTCTAGCTGTGGAGGGAGAGGACAGTGTGTCTACTGGGGAGCTGTAGGCGTTGGCCCGCTTTCAGGGCTCACCTAGGCAATGCGCCCTTTCCCTCCCTCGAAGGGCCCGCGGAGTCTGAACCGTCCTGACTGGAGGGTTGTGCAGCGCTCTGTGGAGCAGCAGCTGGCGGCAAGCCCATCGCGGGCACCTCCTCCATTTGACGGGTATTTATGAGGCGCCTGCTGTGTGCCTGGAGCTTTTCTAGGAGTGCTGAGAAGGGACAGACGGGCACCGAGGGACGGACGGGAGCGGGAGGGGGAGCCTCCTAAGGAGGCCAGGGCGGTGTTTCAGGAGAGCAGTGGTGCGGCCTGAATCAGGGGAGGGCTTGGGCAGCTGGGACTGGGTCAGGAACGTGCTTTGGATTACATCAAGTACGTTTCAGACACGGATAGGCCTGGGGTCTCAGAGGAGCCAGGTAGAGCCCCAGGGTGTTTGTCTAAGGACCTGGAAGGACGGGGTTGCCATTGGCTGAGAAGGGGAAGGCCTTGGAGGAAGGAGGAGTGCGTTTGGGGATGAAGGCAAGGAGGGGGGCGGTTCCGGGCACGTGGGTGTTGGGAAGTGAAGAGGATCTGCGTGTAATAGTTTAAAACCATGCGGCCGGATCACCAAGAGGGAGTGTAGGAAGAACAGAAGCCCTTCCGCGGGGGCCTGGGACACTCCAGTGTAAGTTCCTGGAGGTGAGGGGCGACCGCCTAGGTCGAGGGCCGGGGTATTTTTATGCAGAGAAGAGCCATTTCTGAACCTCGTATTTCACCAGTCAGCGGAAGGTGTATTGTGAAAGGATGGGGTCTGGTATTGTGTTGAACTTCTGGCCCAGGGCAGTAGTTCACTTGTTTTGTGTTTGCAAGATAAGCTTTGGCCAAGAGGAGTGCGTTTAAGTATCTTCCTAACTCAGGAGGAAGTGCTCAGTACGCGTGTGGTTACTTATCGCCAGCGGGGAGGTCGTCGTAAGTGATTATCACAAGAGTGACCACCAAAATCAGCCTATGACCGATTGTAATGTTCTTTTGAAACAAATATACCAACAAATAAACTTTTGGTCCTTTTAAATTTTTTTTCTTTTTCTTTTTTTTTTTTGCTTGTTTGAGAGAACGAGAGAGAGACTCCCCTGTGCCCAAGGCCTACAGAGGGGAAGCAAGACTCCCTGCTGAATGTGGAGCTGAAGGCGGGGCTAGATCTCTTAACCCTGAGATCATGACCTGAGCCAAAATCAAGAGCCCTTCAGTTAATGGATTGAGGCACACCTATCCTAAACTTTTATGGTCTGGTTTTATGTCAGCAGTCATTGAAATTATTAAAAACAAATCTTTGAAGACAGGAAGTCTCTATCCTACCTGGCATATGCATATAGGAAGAAAAAAATTGCATTAGGACAAGGTGAAAAATAAATACAGATTCATTTTAAATAAATGTATATATTCACTAGCTTTTTTTTATCTGTTTAAGTACAGGTAAAGTCTAGTGTTTTTCATTTGTAAAGCACACCTGTCAGCACTTCGTGTTCTTAGTACCTCTGCTATTGGACTTATGGTCTCTGGCTTCAACAATTTCAACAAGGCAGAATTAAAGATTTGCAATTTTCAGATACGCCCACATCACCAAACACCCAAGTACTAAATGTCCAGTTCTAGTCCATTAAAATGAAACGTTGCCTTATGGAACAAAATAGATAAATCTTTTTAAAATGTGAATAAATCATAAGTAGATAGTTTTATGGTTTTTTGAAAAATACTGTCATTGTTTATCAACCAGTCAGACCTAAAAGTAGAATATTACCTGCATCTCCAACATTCCTTCGTTTCCTCTCCCAGACACTTCCCCACTTACCCCAAGGTAATCACTGTTTCGACTGCTAATGTCATAAGTTAATCTTGCTTCTTTTGAAAACTTATATTAATGGAAGCGTACAACATGAATTCTTTTGTGTCTAGCTTTTTTTTTGTAAACGTGATTGTGAAATCCATATTATTGAGGGTAGTAGCATCTTATTCATCTTCATTACTGGATAGAGTTCCATTGTGTATATAAACTTCAATTTGTCCTTTTTTTTTTTTTAAGATTTTATTTATTTGACAGAGAGAGAGATCACAAGTAAGCAGAGAGGCAGGCAGAGAGTGAGGGGGAAGCTGGCTCCCTGCCAAGCAGAGAGCCTGATCGGGGCTTGATCCCAGGACCCTGAGATCATGACCTGAGCTGAAGGCAGAGGGTTAACCCACTGAACCACCCAGGTGACCCCAATTTGTCCTTTCTGGGGTTAAATGGACAATTAGATTGCTGCCAGTTTGGGATTATTATGAAGAATGCAGTGAAGAGCATTCTTGTTCAGAAAAAAGTCAGAGAATGCTAAATAGTTGTATAATTCTATTTTTATAAAGCTCAGTAGTTCTCCAAGAAAATCTGAACAATAAATTGTTTCTTGATATATTTATACGTGCTTAAATTTTTTTATAAGCAAGGAAACAATAAGCACAATTCAGGATAATAATGAATGATTTTTAGGTGGCAGAAGGGTGGGATGTAGGAGGAGCCCATAGTCCCCAAGTCAAGTAAAGCGTTCATTGATGCTCATTTATACTATTTTTCTTCAAAATATGATGTGCATTCACTTATATGAACATTACATCATTGTTTTTAATTAATAAAACACAAAATGTCATAGTGCCAGAATTTTTATCTAGGGAAAAACTTCACTGACAGGATACATTTTGATGACAACCTTGTGGACATGCTTATTCAATTTACCAGGTATATGAGTCACTTATTGTTTTTCCTTTTATCTCACAGGCATTCAAGATGGGAAAGAATCCTCTTAAAGATTCCACCTATGAAGGTCAAGGTTGTTGCATTATGTTAAATGACGTTTAAACTGAACACACAAAGATTGGGCCATATTTTGTGGTTAGGCAGGTACCACGTTAAAATGAAGGTTATTTCTGAGAAAGATTACCTGGGGAAGAGTCAAATCTTTATTCAGAGCTGGAACCAGGATGCTAAGCTCCGGGTGGGGACTGAGGCTGTGTTCAGCATGCATCTTGACCTGGAATTTGAAGAGTTTGGATGTCTGAGAGCATAGTATTTGTGGTAGAGCATAATCAGCTGTCCTCAAACATAGGGAGACTGGGACCCTGTATGATTTGTCCCTAGTAAGGGTTCCCACTGGGTGTGTGCCTCATGGTCACAGGAGAATTGACAATCTAATGAACTGATTCAGTTGCCTTCACTGCTGCATTTATTAAAGATGAATCGACTCTCTCAGGCTCTAGCATCATTGTATGTGGTGGAAAATTATTTTTGCTTCCTTTAGTAAAGTTCATTTGAATATTCTGGCCCTGCTGTAAGAAAGCAAAGAGAGAGCTATATCTTCATACTTAAGCCAGAGTGCCAAGGAGGAGAGTAGGGTGGTGGTGGGTGGCAAGGAGTGATATCAGTAATCAGTAGGAGAATTAGGGAAGTAAAGATATCCAGAGACTAATATTTACTTCTTTGTAGCATCAGCTTTAGAGGTCCGAAGTAATATTTTTATTCAGGTAAGTAACTGTTTCTGACATGGTGCTTCCAGCTTGCAAGAACTCCACTGCCCTCTCCATCATTCACATTGTACACTTATGCAGATGCATTGAGCACTTTGGATTGCTCCTAGGCATGCACATTGTTCATTTTAAACTATTTTCATGCTATCGCTGCATTTAGCCTCTCTTTTTTTGTGTGTCCTAGCCTGGGAAAGAAAGAAAACAGCTTTATCTTTAGTATCTTTCTTGGGAAAAGTTAGAAAACTTGGCTAGTCCTCTTGCTAGTGACAGATAAATTAATCCACATTTTTCGGTATGGTTAAAGTAAAATTGTGACATTTCCAAGTACTTACATGCAATCTTCTATGTAAGTTTATACCCGTATTCATCCAAAAACATTTATTGAGCATACACTGAGTTCTGGGCGCTCGGCTGAAGACACAGCTGTGACCAATTATCCCTGCCCTTGAGGAACCCTTG